AAGGGACTTCGATGTCTTTGAGCCCGATGTTTATTCATATAGTATTATATAGTAGGCCTGAACCCTGGAGGGATATATCTGGGAAACTAAAGATGGTACCAGCACCATTTTTTCACAGAAGTGGTAAATGACCCGTAGTACCCTAACCTTAAAATTTCAAACTCCACGACAAAGGAATTCGATGTCTCTGAGCCCGATGTTTATTCATAGAGTATTATATAGTAGGCCTGAAACCTGGAGGGCTATATCTCGGAAACTAGAGATGGTACCATCACCATTTCTTCAAAGAAGTGGTAAATGACCCGTAGTACCCTACCTTCAAAATTTCAGACCCCAGGACAGGGGACTTTGATGTCTCTAAGCCCGATGTTTATTCATATAGTATTATATAGTAGGCCTGAAACCTGGAGGGCTATATTTTCGGAAACTAGAGAAGGTACCATCACAATTTTTACACAGAAGCGGTAAATGACCCGTATAACCATACCCTCAAAATCTCCTGAGCCCGGGACAGGGAACTTCGATATCTATGAGCCCGATGTTTATTCATAGAGTATTATATAGTAGGCCTGAAACCTGGAGGGCTATATCTCGGAAACTAGAGATGGTACCATCACCATTTTTTAACAGAAGTGGTAAATGATCCGTAGTACCCTACCCTCAAAATTTCCTGAGCCCGGGCAGGGACTTCGATGTCTCTGAGCCCGATGTTTATTCATATAGTATTATATAGTAGGTCTGAAACCTGGAGGGCTATATCTCGGAAACTACAGATGGTACCATCACCATTTTCTCACAGAAGTGGTAAATGACCCGTGGTACCCTACCCTCTAAATTTCAGACCCCGGCACAGGGGTCTTCGATGTCTCTGAGCCCGATGTTTATTCATATAGTATTATATAGTGGGCCTGAAACCTGGAGGGCTATATAACAAAATCTAGAGATGGTACCATCACCATTTTCTTACAGAAGTGGTAAATAATTCGTAGTACCCTACCCTCAAAATCTCAGACCCCGGGACAGGGGACTTCGATGTCTCTGAGCCCGATGTTTATTCATATAGTATTATATAGTAGGTCTGAAACCTGGAGGGCTATATCTCGGAAACTAGAGATGGTACCATCACCATTTTTTCCCAGAAGTGGTAAATGACCCGTATAACCCTACCCTCAAAATGTCAGACCCCGGGACAGGGAACTTCAATGTCTATGAGCCCGATGTTTATTCATATAGTATTATATAGTAGGCATGAAACCTGGAGGGCTATATCTCGGAAACTAGAGATGGTACTATCACCATTTTTTCACAGAAGTGGTAAATGACCCGTATATTCCTACCCTGAAAATTTGAGACCCCGGGACAGGGGACTTCGATGTCCCTGAGACCGATGTTTATTCATATAGTATTAGGTCTGAAACTTGGAGGGCTATATCTCGGATACTAGAGATGATAGTATCACTATTTTTTTCCCAGAAGTGGTAAATGACCCGTAGTACCTTACCCTCAAAATTTCCTAAGCCCGGGACAGGGGACTACGATGTCTCTGAGCCCGATTTTTATTCATAGAGTATTATATAGTAGGCCTGAAACCTGGAGGGCTATTTCTCGGAAACGAGAGATGGTACCACCACCATTTTATCACAGAAGTGGAAAATGACCCGTAGTACCCTACCCTCAAAATGTCCGACCCAGGGACAGGGAACTTCGATGTCTCTGAGCCCGATGTTTATTCATATAGTATTATATAGTAGGTCTGAGACTTTGAGGGCTATATCTCGGAAACTAGAGATGGTATCATAACCATTTTTTCCCAAAAGTGGTAAATGAACCGTAGTACCCTACCCTCAAAATTTCAGACCCTGGGACAAGGGACTTCGATGTCTCTAAGCCCGATGTTTATTCATAGAGTATTATATGGTAGGCCTGAAACCTGGAGGGCTATATCACGGAAACTAGAGATGGTACAATCACCATTTTCTCACAGAAGTGGTAAATTACCCCTTGTACTCTATCCTCAAAACTTCAAATCCCGGCACAAGGGACTTCGATGTCCCTGAGCCCGATGTTTATTCATATAGTATTATATAGTAGGCCTGAACCCTGGAGGAATATATCTGGGAAACTAAAGATGGTACCAGCACCATTTTTTCACAGAAGTGGTAAATGACCCGTAGTACCCTAACCTTAAAATTTCAAACTCCACGACAAAGGAATTCGATGTCTCTGAGCCCGATGTTTATTCATAGAGTATTATATAGTAGGCCTGAAACCTTGAGGGCTATATCTCGGAAACTAGAGATGGTACCATCACCATTTTTTCACAGAAGTGGTAAATGACCCGTAGTACCCTACCCTCTAAATTTCCTGAGCCAGGGCAGGGACTTCGATGTCTCTGAGCCCGATGTTTATTCATAGAGTATTATATAGTAGGTCTGAAACTTGGAGGGCTATATCTCGGAAACTACAGATGGTACCATCACCATTTCTTCACAGAAGGGGTAAATGACCCGTAGTACCCTACCCTCAAAATTTCAGACCCCGGGACAGGGGACTAGGTTGTCCCTGAGCCCGATGTTTATTCATATAGTATTATATAGTAGGCCTGAAACCTGGAGGGCTAAACCTCGGAAACTAGAGATGGTACCATCACCATTTTTTCACAGAAGTGGTAAATGACCCGTAGTACTCTACCCTGATAATATCAGACCCCGGGACAGGGAACTTCAATGTCTATGAGCCCGATGTTTATTCATAGAGTATTATATAGTAGGCCTGAAACCTGAAGGGCTATATCTCGGAAACTAGAGATGGTACCATCACCATTTCTTCACAGAAGTGGTAAATGACCCGTAGTACCCTACCCTCAAAATTTCAGACCCCAGGACAGGGGACTTTGATGTCTCTAAGCCCGATGTTTATTCATATAGTATTATATAGTAGGCCTGAAACCTGGAGGGCTATATTTTCGGAAACAAGAGAAGGTACCATCACAATCTTTACACAGAAGCGGTAAATGACCCGTATAACCATACCCTCAAAATCTCCTGAGCCCGGGACAGGGAACTTCGATATCTATGAGCCCGATGTTTATTCATAGAGTATTATATAGTAGGCCTGAAACCTGGAGGGCTATATCTCGGAAACTAGAGATGGTACCATCACCATTTTTTAACAGAAGTGGTAAATGACCAGTATATCCCTACCCTGAAAACCTGAGACCCTGGGACAAGGGACTTCGATGTCCCTTTGCCCGATGTTTATTCATATAGTATTATGTAGAAGGTCTGAAACCCGGAGGGCTATATCACGTAAACTAGAGACGGTACCATCCCCATTTTTTCACAGAAGTGGTAAATGACCCATAGTTCCCTACCCTCAAAAATTCAGACCCCGGGACAGGGGACTTCTATGTCTCTGAGCCCGATGTTTATTCATATCGTTTTATATAGTAGGTCTGAAACCTGGAGGGCTATATCTCGGAAACTAGAGATGGTACCAGCACTATTTTTTCCCAAAAGTGGTAAATGACCCGTAGTACCCTACCCTCAAAATTTCAGACCCCGGGACAGGGAACTTCGATGTCTCTGAGCCCGATGTTTATTCATATACTATTATATAGTAGGCCTGAAACCTGGAGGGCTATATCTCGGAAACTAGAGATGGTACTATAACCATTTTTTTTCCCAGAAGTGGTAAATGACCCGTAGTACCCTACCCTCAAAATTTCCTAAGCCCGGGAGAGGGGACTTCGATGTCCCCAGGTCCAACGTTTATTAATATAGTATTATATAGTAGGTCTGAAACTTGGAGGGCTATATCTCGGAAACTAGAGAAGACACCATCATAATTTTCTCACAGAAATGGTAACTGACGCGTAGTACCCTACCCTCAAAATTTCAGACCCTGGGACAGGGGATCTTCGATATCCCCGCGCCCGATGTTTATTCATATAGTATTATATAGTAGGCCTAAAATCTGGAAGGCTATATCTCGGAAACTAGAGATGGTACCATCACCATTTTATCACAGAAGTGGTAACTGACCGGTAGTATCCTACCCTCAAAATTTCAGACCCCGGCACATCATACTTCGAAGTCCCCGAGCCCGATGTTTATTGATATAGTATTATATAGTAGGCCTAAAAACTGGAGGGCTATATCTCGGTAACTTGAAACGGTACCATCACCATTTTATCACAGAAGTGGTAACTGACCCGTAGTACCCTACCCCCAAAATTTCAGACACCGGGACAGGGGACTTCGATGTCCCCGAGCCCGATTTTTATTTATATAGTATTATATAGTAGGCCTAAAAACTGGAGGGCTATATCAAGGAAATTAGAGACAGTACCATCACCATTTTTTCACAGAAGTGGAAACTGACCCGTAGTACCCTACCCTCAAAATTTCAGACCCTGGGACAGGGGGCTTCGATGTTTTCACTAGAGTGCATTCTCGAAAACACGTTATTTGAATTTAATGGCAAATATTACAAACAAACAATCGGGTATCCAATGGGAAGCCCAAGTAGTCCAGAAATATCGGACCTAAGAGTATATCAAATAACTGAAATGGTAGTAAACAACTATGAATACAAACACAAAATTTGCTTCCATGGGCGATTCCGTGATGACGGATTTATGATTTACGATGGCTCGGAAAACGAAATTATTCGCTTTTTTGAAATAACAAATGAATGTCTTCCTTTATTGAAATTTACCTATGAAATATCTGAAGCATCACTACCATTTTTGGACACATATGTATACAAAGGAAACCGTTTCAAGGAATTTCATATTCTTGATGTTAAGTCATATATTAAACCAACAAACACATTCCAATATTTGCACCGCCACAGCGCTCACCCTAAATCAGTTTTGAAAGGCTTTATTAAGGGGGAATGTATATGTACACAATACACGTGACAAGGAAATATTGCACAACGAACTTCTGGAGTTCAGATCACACCTTTTAAACAGAGAATACCCGGTACAAGAGAACTGAGATTGACACAATTATTAATGAATCCTTAGCTGAAAACAGTCATAACGTTACATAAAACCAAGAAAACAAAGGAAATACCTATTGTTCTAATTACAAAGTGTGACCCAAGAATCAAAGGGCTGAAATCCAAATTATTAAAAATACTGGTCATTAGTTTTAAAAGATGAAACATGCAAAGAAATCTTTCAAACAAAACCAATGATTGCATATGCTAAACATAAAAGTATTAGTGATTTGCTTACAAAAGCTATTTGCCACAATAGAAATTACGGTTGGATCCTTGAGGAAGGCGGGGCCGTGATTTTGATTTTTAATACACCAATACGATATCAAACCGCCGAAACACTTTGCTGTCATAATAATACAGTCAATAATTAATTACTCATTCAAAACAATGTCAGAATGAAATAGAAATAAAAAAAAAGTCGCAGCACTGTTTCGGGTCCTATAAATTGAGAATTGTGTGGCTGATGGGTGTTGCCTAAATGCACAAAAAATCTAAGCGTCATGTTCATCTCTGATGTACATTTCTTTGATCTGCAAAATGAAAAAAAAAAATTACATCTTTAGAACTGTTGAAAGAGTTATTTGAAAAATCCTTGTTACCAATATAACACATTAAATGACTAAATTCAGCAACTAGTATTTTCATATCAATGATAAAAAAAAATCAAAATCCAGGAACCACGTTCATCTCTACTGTATGTTCACTTCACTTGAATATTTAGAAACATATCTTCCTTTTCAAATGATCGCCCGCATGACGCAGTGGTTAGAGCGTCTGCTTTAGAGTCGCGAAGTAAGGAGCTGATCCTTTTGTAATGGGTTCGAATCCCACTGTGGGACGTGGAGAAGGGTCCTTCGGACGAGACCGTATAAACCGAGGTCCCAACAACAGATATTTTGTTATAAATGATACAAAACAAAGTCCAAACACTTACTGACTCTCTTACATATGTACAACTGACTTGCACAATGAAAATTCCCTTTCTCAACAACTGTAGGAAGCAGTACCCTGTAAGTAATATTTTGCATAAGATTGACTAGGCTCAACATCTAGTATTTTCCCTGTCAATGACCAAAAATCATACTCAATGTACTAAACATATGTCTTACATGTATATTAATATGTTCAATTCACCTGCAGAACAAACTCCTACTACTTACTTTGAAAACTATTGGATGGATTATCCAGGAAAATGATGTATATAAATAAACAATATTTTGCACCAAAAAATGATGAAATTCAACACCCGCTACTTTCCCCATAAATGATCTTAAATCAAAATCAGACAACCATGTACATCTCTAATGAAAGTTTAATCTCTCCTGCAAAGTGAAAAATACCTTCGGATTTTGTAATCGATATTGTGCATTAAATTGACCAAGTTCAGCATTTAATATCCCTCTCATAAATGATCAAAATCAAAATCCAGGTACCATGCACATTTCTGAGGATAGATAATTGATCCACAATTGTCGGAATACTTTGGGAAAATGATTTCCTCTTTATACAATATTGTGCATAAAAATGAACATGTGCAACCACAGCTATTTTCCACCATCAAGTTCAAAATCAAAGTACTCAATAGATCCTTCAGATATGTACAATATACCTACAATTACAATATATTGATTTCTTATTTTGAACAATTTAGCAGGGAATACCCATACAAATGTTATACTCTCTTATAATTTGCAGAAAAATGACTGAAGTTCCATAACTGCATTTTTAACCATTAATGATCAGAAGGTTAAATCAAACTACTTAGCTCATACTGGATGTAAACATGTACAATTGATCTGCAAAGCAAAAACTTCTTTTCTTGAAAACTGTTGAAGAAGTTAATACAAGTTGAACCCAGTATGAAATATTTTACATACAAATGACTAATTTTAACAACTGGTACCTTTATTGATGATGAAAAATCAAAATCTAAGCATCAGGTTCATCTCTCATGTACGTTTCTGATCTGCAAAATGAAAAAAAAAATGTCTTTAAAACTCTTGCAGGAGTTAACTGGAAAACTCTTGGAAGCAATAGAACATATTAAATGACTTCATTTAGCAACTGGTACTTTCATGTCAATGATCAAAAATCAAAATACATGAGCCATTTTCATCTCTACTGTATGTTCATTTGACTTGAACAATTAGAAACATATTCCTTTTCATGGGATTTCTTTCAGCAGAAAACTGAAGGAGGAGTTACATGTATCTGCAGAAATGATGTACCCCTAAATAATATAGTGCACCAAACTGAACATGTTCAACAGCTTGTATCTTTTCCATCAATGATTACTGACAACCAACCAAATCAAGGTGCCAGGCTTTCGATGATGTAAAAATATTAGAGGAAAAATTCTCTTTTAAGAACTGTAGGAACTATATGGAGAAATAAAATGAACCCTATATGCAAGGGTTGCCATAAAAATCAAGAATACCAACAACAGATATTTTGTCATAAATGATACAAAACAAAGTCCAAACACTTAGTGACTCTCTTACATATGTACAACTAACTTGCATAATGAAAGATTCCTATCTAAACAAGAGGCCCATGGGCCACAGAACTCACCTGAGTAACTTTGGCCTTGCTGTTTTCCACCTGATTTCTCCTCCCCCCCCCCCCCCCCCCCGGTAGTACTTATTGTGGCCCCGCCCTACCCCCAAGGGTCATGATTTGAACAATTGGAATCTACACTACCCCAGGATGCTTCCACATAAGTTTCAGCTTTTCTGGCCCAGTGGTTCTTGCGAAGAAGATTTTTAAAGATTTTTCCTATATATTTCAATGTAAAACTTGGATTCCCTGTTGTGGCCCCGCCCTACCCCCGGGTGTCATGATTTGAACAATTTAGAATCTACACTACACCAGGATGCTTCCACATAAGTTTCAGCTTTTCTGGCCCAGTGGTTCTTGAGAAGAAGATTTTTAAAGATTTTTCCTATATATTTCAATGTAAAACTTGGATTCCCTACTGTGGGGGTGCACCGCCCAACCTCCGGGGGTCATGATTTGAACAATTTAGAATCTACACTACACCAGGATGTTTCCACATAAGTTTCAGCTTTTCTGACCCAGTGGTTCTTGAGAAGAAGATTTTTAAAGATTTTTCCAATATATTTCAATGTAAAACTTGGATTCCCTATTGTGGCCCCGCCCAACCTCCAGCGGTCATGATTTGAACAATTTAGAATCTACACTACCCCAGGATGCTTCCACATAAGTTTCAGCTTTTCTGGCCCAGTGGTTCTTGAGAAGAAGACTTTTTAATGACCCCACCCAATTTTTGTATATTCTTGATTATCTCCCCTTTGAAGGGGACTTGGCCCTTCATTTTAACAATTTAAACTCTCCTTCACCCAAGGATGATTTGTACCAAGTTTGGTTAAAATTGGCCCAGTGGTTCTTGAGAAGAAGTCGAAAATGTGAAAAGTTTACAGACGGATGGACAGACGAACGGACGACGGACAACGGGTGATCAGAAAAGCTCACTTGAGCTTTCAGCTCTGGTGAGCTAAAAACTGTAGGAAGCAGTACCCTATAATATTTTGCATAAGATTGACTAGGCTCAACATCTAGTATTTTCCCTGTCAATGACCAAAAATCATACTCAATGTACTAAACATATGTCTTACATGTATATTAATATGTTCAATTCACCTGCAGAACAAACTCCTACTACTTACTTTGAAAACTATTGGAGGGATTATTCAGGAAAATGATGTAAAAATATAAGCAATATTTGCACCAAAAATGATGAAATTCAACAACCGCTACTTTCCCCATAAATGATCTTAAATCAAAGAATCATGTACATCTATAATGAAAGTTTAACCTCTCCTGCAAAGTGAAAAATACCTTCGGATTTTGTAATCAATATTCTGCATCAAACTGACCAAGTTCAGTTTTAATATCCCTCTCATAAAGGATCAAAAATCAAACTCCATGCACCATGCACATTTTTGAGAAATAGATAATTGATCCATAATTGTAGGAATACTCTGGGAAAATGATTTCCTCTTTATACAATATTGTGTCCACAATTGTAGGAATACTCTGGGAAAATGATTTCCTCTTTATACAATATTGTGCATAAAAAATGAACATGTGCAACCACAGCTATTTTACACCATCAAGTTCAAAATCAAAGTACTCAATAGATCCTTCAGATATGTACAATATACCTACAATTACAATATATTGATTTCTTATTTTGAACAATTTAGCAGGGAATACCCATACAAATGTTATACTCTCTTATAATTTGCAGAAAAATGACTGAAGTTCCATAACTGCATTTTTAACCATTAATGATCAGAAGGTTAAATCAAACTACTTAGCTCATACTGGATGTAAACATGTACAATTGATCTGCAAAGCAAAAACTTCTTTTCTTGAAAACTGTTGAAGAAGTTAATACAAGTTGAACCCAGTATGAAATATTTTACATACAAATGACTAATTTTAACAACTGGTACCTTTATTGATGATGAAAAATCAAAATCTAAGCATCAGGTTCATCTCTGATGTACGTTTCTGATCTGCAAAATAAAAAAAAAATGTCTTTAAAACTGTTGAAGGAGTTAACTGGAAAACTCTTGGAAGCAATAGAACATATTAAATGGCTTCATTTAGCAACTGGTACTTTCATGTCAATGATCAAAAATCAAAATACATGAGCCATTTTCATCTCTACTGTATGTTCATTTGACTTGAACAATTAGAAACATATTCCCTTTCATGGGATTTCTTTCAGCAGAAAACTGAAGAGGAATTATCTGCAGAAAGGTAGACCCTTAAAGTAATATATTGCACCAAATTGAACATGTTCAACAGCTTGTATCTTTTTCGTCAATGACCAAAATCCAAATCAAGGTGCCATGAATATCGATGATGTAAAAATATTGGGGGGGGGGGGATTCTTCTTTTAAGAACTGTAGGAACTATCTGGACAAATAAAATGAACCCTATATGCAAGGGTTGCCATAAAAATCAAGAATACCAACAACAGATATTTCGTCATAAATTATACAAAACAAAGTCCAAACACTTGGTGGCTCTCTTACATATGTAAGCAACTAACTTGCATAATGAAAGATTCCTATCTCAAAAACTGTAGGAAGCAGTACCCTCTAAGTAATATTTTGCATAAGATTGACTAGGCTCAACATCTAATATTTTCCCTTTGAATGACCAAAAATCATACTCAATGTATTAAACATATCTTATATTAATATGTTCAATTCACCTGCAGAACAAACTCCTACTCCTTACTTTGAAAACTATTGGAGGGTTTATCCTGGCAAACGATGTACCAAAATAAGCAATATTGTGCACCAAAAATGATGAAGCTCAACAACCGCTACTTTCCCCATAAATTATCTTTAAATTAAATCAAAGAACCATGTATATCTCTAATGAAAGTTTAATCTCTCCTGCAAAGTGAAAAAATACCTTCGGATTTTGTAATTGAAATTTTGCATCAAATTGACCAAGTTCATCAGCTAATATCCCTTTCATTAATGATCAAAAATCAAAATCCAGGTACCATGCACATTTCTGAGGGACAGATACACGTAATTGATCAACACATGTAGGAGTACTCTGGAAAAATTATATTGCATGTCCCTTTTATCCAATATTTTGTATAAAAATGAAAATGTTCAACTACTGCTATTTCCATCATTAAACATCAAAATTCAAAATCTAAGTACTTAGTAGATCCTTTATAAATGTGTACAATTTACCTGCAAAATAATAATTCCTCATTTTGGAAAATTTAGCGGGAAATGTCCATACAAATGTGGTACTCTCACTCTCTTACATTTTGCAAAAAAAAAAAAAAAAAAAAAAAAAAATTACTGAAGTTCAATAACTGCTTGTTTAACACAAGAGGCCCAAGGGCCTTAATGGTCACCTGAGTATAATACAATACTGTAAAGGGTCCACAGAAGTATTAAACAAAATTAACTGATAATTGAAGCTATTTTGCCCAAGAATTTAATAAATCTGGTAAAATTACCTTTACTTATTGTAACAAGTGATTGTATGTTGTTTTACTTCCCATTCGAGAATTTTTCACTCATATGGAGACAACACCATATACTGGTGAAGGGCTTCAAATTTTGACCTTTACTCGGCACTCAGGGCCATTGCGCAATTAGGGATCTTTATCGTGCCAATATCTGCCGTGACAAGGGGCATCAGTTTTTAAGGTCTCATCCGAACGACCCACAACCTTCACTTCAAAGTGCCGAGCACATGGCGAAGGAACAGTTGTTACCCATTTTTTTAAATCAACTTAGGTCAGTCGCAGCCGAGATTCAAACTCATGACTTCCTGATCACGAAGCGAGCATTCTACCGAATGAGCTACCGTGAACGGTCATATTCCTTTAAAATTACATCATGAATTACAGTACCCGCATCGTTATTCTTTACAATTCTATCGTGTCCTATCGTGCGTTTATCCTATCGTATCGTGCGTGTATCCTGTCGTATCGTGCGTGTATCCTATCGTATCCTATCGTATCGTGTTTTCCGTTTATCAGGTTTTGCGTTTTCTATCGTGTTTTCCGTTTATCAGGTTTTGCGTTTATCGTGAAGATCGTTTATCAGGTTCTATTGTGTATCGTGTTTTGCGTTTATCGTGTGCATTCGGAAACCCTCGCTTTTTATCTTTACCTTGAGAAGAAACACCCGAGATATCCCGAGTTCATTTTTCGTTTTGTTATTTTATTTACGATCCATTTAATTGTTGAAGAGAGAGAGAGAGAGAGAGAAATTAATAACTTATCTGATTCTCTGGTATATAAATTTAAAGAAATAAATAAATAAATTCTAAATAAATAAATATATACATAAATAAATAACAAAAATCGTCAAGTACCGACCGTAACCAAGCAGAGAGCGTAAATCGAAAGTTAAATCTATTTAGCACATAAAATAATCTGTCTACAAGTCAATCGTTTTTTTCTTTTTTTAATTCAGATTGTCGACTTGTAAGAAATACTATTTATCAAAAATAGAAATATTAGAATTTCTTTAAATAGTCAGAGTCACCAAAAGGTAGACCATTATTAACTTTCTTTTGATAATTATAGAAATATAAAACAGTAGGTATGTGAGCTAAAAGAAATAAATTGAAAACATATCAGCATCTATATAAGGCCTATCTTTTTCATCAATAATGGAATTAATCAATAACAAGTTATTCATTTTTTCAGAAACACTAGGAGAAGCACTTTTTTATTAATATTTGAAAAGCATCATTTGGTAACACACATGTACATGTAGTTACTAGTAAAGTTTTATGCCTCTATTTTAAATGTATGCACAATCAATTATCTAAAGGATTGTTTCCAAATGATTCATAAAGGCATATACAGTGTAATGCATGATCTTGATAACATTTACACACAAATTTTGTCTGTACGTGCAAGTATGTACATGTAGTTCATATTTATTTTTTTTTATTTATTTATTTCTCTTATGTGTCTAACTAAAAAATAAACTACAATTTATAATGCATGAGCATGTTCTATTCATTCACCATAATTATATATTATAATGTAGATGTTTAACCATTTTTACTTACTACTGCCTTTAGAAAATCGAAAAAAAAATCAGTATACATCTTACCTATTTCGGCGTGGAAATGAACTGAGTATATACTGTACACTGACAGACGGAAGCGCTCCAGTACTTAAAGAACTGACACCTACATGTATATGTACCTGCCTAATCAGTACACTGTCTTCTTGTCAGGTCAAGACCCAACCCCCTACCCCTACATGACATCTTAGCCCGTGTGTATTCAACGTCAACATACCTGAACTGCTCTCTCACCTGGTGTCAAATATTTACCTTGAACCCTTCTGGGTATAAATATATGCAAAAATTTATATGAAATCGCCCGGTTTTGCTTCGATACACAAGACATGTAAATGCCTTGAATTTAATTTCATAAGTGTTTATCAATTACAGTGGAGCCTCATTTATCCGGACGCTTTGGTTCCCAGTCAATTTGTCCGGATATGTGAAGCGTCTGGATACCTGAATTGCCTTGATTTTAGTTATATGGCCTTTCATACCATTTCAATATTGAAGAATGTTGCGTTTCATCAATATGTTTTATTGTTTAAATACTTTTACATAAGTTAGTACTACTCAATACTTGTTTAAATAAATAAAAAGTACATGTGTCATTGGGAAAAAAACATGTTTATATGGTCAGATTAATTATTTCTACTTCCCAGTGTCTAATGAATCAACTTCTCCTAGTACTACCATGTCGGTACGGTAATGTCGGTAGAGCCTTATTTAATATGAACGCCCATCAATGCTAAATGTGACATAATCTGCATATGTATACGAACGCTAATCGTAATCATCCAAAGCTAGATCGTATTAACGATTGTGTAATTTTGAAAGTGATTTTTAAATGTCATCAAATCATAGAATGCGTTTCGCGCACAAAATACTGTGCATAAAAAAAACTCCGATGTCATGTATATAAATACATAAAACCATGTTACGACTGTATTCTAACAGTAAAAGAAATATATTTGCCGACTACGAAAAAATTATTCTACACTTATAAAATTATTTTCCTTAATTAATATGTATCAAAGCCATGTTAGAGAAGCGAGATTCTGTGCGTACCTATCGACCTACAATTAACCTTGCCGCAAGCCATTGATAACAGTTGGCAGGTGATCATCTTTAAAAACAAACAGCCAGACCAGTGTTTTTACAACAATTAACACCCAGATCAAGAAATTTGAGCAGACTTGACAGACCAGTTAAAAAATTATCGTCCGGATAAATGAATCAAAATATAACGTAAGAATTCATTTTGTGGTGAAAAAGGACCGTCCGGATACGGAACGCGGAATTCCGGTTAAACGAGACAAAATAACGTTAAAAATTTCGTTCCCATTAAAAATCGTCCGGAAACTGAAGCGTCCGGATATCTGGCGTCCGGATATCTGAAGGTCCACTGTACATATAATACTTGACTATATTCAAGAAGTCAATATATATTTTAATTTTTTTTTTTTTGAATCGGATCTTTTTTTTTTTTTTATTTTAGTGGTTAGTGCACCCCCCCCCCCCCCCCCCCCACCGCTGACTGTGCCTCAGGTGGGATTAAGACTTTCATAATTTACAAAGTTTTGTTTTATTTTGCCGATATAGCCATAAATAAGATAAGTTTAGTAACAAATAATACAGAGTCTAATAGAAATGATTTACAGTTATTCAGTCCGAAAATCTGCTTGTCATATTGTGGAAATTTATTTTACATTATTATTTATTTGTGTGTGAATCAGCTTAGCATACGGTTAGCTATGGTAGATATAAATTCTGTTAATTTGAATATTTATAACCAGCTTTTCCGCGAAAAGAATCCTGCTTTTCCGCGACAAATTACATTATGCAATGATTGCTTTTCCGCGATTATATTTTTTGCTTTTCTGGGATTTAATTTAGCACTTATCCTTTCCGTTAGTCAGGTAAATACTCTTTCTCCCTGCTATCAA